ATTCGGTCCGAAATAAAATATTCCCAAGGAGTTAAAACGTGTGCACACCTTCCAAGGAACAATATATTTTTTTTTGTTCTCCCGGAGCTAAAATTGATATTTTAGTCCCGGTAAATCGGGATTGTAGCTCTTTTTGACCATAGGGATAAAAAGTGTTTCCATGACCACCAAAACACGCTTTAACTGAAAGTGGCAATATAAACACATCGAAAAATTCAAAATAATAATACTAATAATAAAGGTTTTTATTTAAAAAAAAGAGATGCACAGGAAAAAAAATATATGGGAGAAGTCTAGCATAAGCTATTCTACTTAACCCACAAAACAAAAAAAAAACATTTAAATTGAGAATAACAAACAAAACAAAACAAAAAAAATGGCTCGTCTTATTTACACCTATAGCCTTAGTTACCCGACAAGGCTTACTATCGCGATTGATGATAGGTAATTTCGAATATTTTCTTCCAATTTAAAATTTAGTCCCTATAGTCTCGAGAAGGCAAAAAATAGTATACCTATACACCACAAGACTAAAGTGCGATGTAATCCCTCAAGTGGTGTCTCTTGGTATATAATATACTATTTAACAATTATTTAAGCGAGCATCTGACTTGTGAGGATTCCGTCTATTTCAGTGGCAAATACAAAATACCATTCACGATTTTCAGTTCATAAAAAAATTCAAAGATGGAAAGTTCCAGTTGAAACACGACCATTTTATGAGTAATCTAATCAACTAATAAAGCGTCTAGCGTTTACTGGATGGTAATATCAAGTTGCGAGGCTCTGACTAAATTAATATGTCCTGAAATGATCCTTGTCAAACAACTCATATTCCAACAACACATGGATATCTTTTTACGAGCAAGTTTAATTTTACGAATTTGGCCAAAAATCAATAAGAACTTGTATAATGACACATTTTGGCACTAGGTATAACAATATAATAATACAATTGTAGATAAATAAGCAGCCTATTTATTATCAAATGCCAAAGAACAGAAAAAATTCGATTCATTAATTCATTATTATTTAACTCCGTCTTAACCAACGCGTAATGAGCCCTTTTGGCGAACGGTTATTTTCATGTTTTCTAAGTATCCTGTTTCTGTTCTGTCTGTCGTGTCTCTCGTCCGTGGTCTGTTGACAATTTATTAGACAGATAATAGGTACTCTAAACTACTGTTATGAAATGTATGTACCGTCGAAGCCAGAAAATCTTGGCATTTTTCTGTCATTTTCAAAAATTTAATGTATCCTTTATTGTGACTTTGCCATTTGAAGTTTAAAAGATTTGTCATGTCGCTTGCAGTGTCAAATGATAGAACTAAAAGTAATGTTACTATAGCTACTTAAAGGTGTCTCACGCTTTGTAACAGTGAAATGACATTAAAATCCAAGATTTTCTGGTCTCGATTGTATTTTATGAACCTCATGGAGATCGTAAAAGGCTAACCAAAATTTGTCTAACTATCCCCGTCAACAATTGGATGTCACCGTCTCAAAATTTTTCGAAGTAAATGTTATTCAAATTTCGTAAAATAACTCATTTCTATACTTGTGGTTTATGGATCCGCCTCAGTAGTTTATCTGAGACACCCAAATGGTTGGAAAAAATCAAAATTGTTCAACTACCTTTTGCAATTTAACTTAGAAACTGCAAAACCAAATGCTCTGAAATTTTGCACCGTTTTAAGGTTATCATAGCATGATAAATTGTTATATCAAAATTCGGCTATATAAACCCTACCTAAAGGTGCCTAAAGTGTGCAAAATATTGTTACGGCTATTATTATTTATTAAGATACAGGTTAACAATTTAAATTTAATTGTTGGAGGAGTTTACATTCCCCCCACATCTGATATTAACATTTATCGGAATCACGTGGCCGATTTAGAATCTATATTTAATCAATTTCCTGATTTTGCATATGTTATAGCCGGTGATTTCAATCTTCCACAACTTATCTGGAATAATAACAGTTGTACCAATACTGAATTAATGGGTTCTTCGAGGGATTATTTTGATGTGATTAATAACACTTATTCATTTTTAAACCTAAATCAAGTAAACAATATTCCAAATAATCGAAACGTGTTTTTAGATCTCGTTTTTACGAACATTCTTGATTTGCAAGTTTCATCCGCAGTCGATCCTATTTTTGCTGAAAGTTATCATCATATTCCTTATTCGTGGTCCATTTTTTATGTTCCGTCTTCAAAAAAATTATCTTCACAAGCCAATGTATTTGATTTTGCTAACGGTGATTTTCTACAGTTAAATTACTTTTTAGCCTCTATTAATTGGGTCAATCATTTTTCTGGTCTTGAATTAGATGATATGGTTACTGCTTTTTATAATGTTGTTTTTTTTGGAATGGACACATATATTCCTAAGAAAAGGGTTCATTATTTTTCATCAACTTATCCCCGATGGTTTAATAAAGAGTTAAAAGATTTGTGTCGCCGTAAGAAAATTGCCCATTCAGTCTATAAGAAATCTGGCAGATATGATGACTATGAATATTTTAAAATCTTAAGGACCCAATGTAAAGAACTTAACGAAAATCTATATAATTCCTACCTTTCTAAAGTCAGCGACAGCATTACAAATAATCCACAGTTCTTCTGGAAATTCATTAATGATAGGAAAAAAAGTAGTGGTATTCCTTGTGAAATGCAATATTTCCAGAAGTTTGCCAAAACTGGCACTGAAATTTCCAATTTGTTTGCGGAGTTTTTTTCCTCGGTTTACGTAGAAGACGCCAACAATGATTTTGATCAAGAATTTGATGGTATAAATGAAGTAGCTGATTCTGGACTGAAAGTTGAGTTATCAGAAGTTTTTGAAAATATCGCTCGTCTTAAACATTCTTTCCATCCTGGAGCTGATGGCATTCCAAACGTTCTGCTGAAGAACTGCATTTACACAATTACAATGCCCTTGTGTGAACTTTTCAAAGTGTCTTTGTCTCAGGGTAAATTTCCTAAGGCCTGGAAAAATAGTTACGTTACACCTATTTTTAAATCTGGGGATCGTAATAAGATCGACAATTACAGAGGTGTTTGCAATCAGTCTACCATTCCTAAAATATTTGATTCCATTGTAGCCAAACAATTGGAATGGATTTCTTCTTCTATCATCTCCATCAAACAACATGGTTTCCGCAAACAAAGATCTACTTGTACTAATTTAATGGAATATTATTGTTATTTAAATGAAGCTTTTGATAAAAAACTACAAGTGGATTCCGTGTATACTGATTTTTCAAAAGCCTTTGATAAGGTAAATCATAGGTTATTATTCTGTAAATTGCGTCACTTAGGGTTTAACAATAATACCGTTAAATGGTTAACATCATTCCTGTCGGAAAGATCACAGCAAGTTAGGATTGGTAGTTACATGTCGTCTCCTTATTTGGTTCCATCAGGCGTACCTCAAGGGTCGCACTGTGGACCAATTTTGTTTTTACTGTTCATTAACGATTTAATGAGTGGCTTTCGTTACTCCAATTTTCTGTTGTATGCGGACGATTTGAAGGTATTTAAAACTGTTAGTTCCTTGAAAGATGCACTTGAATTACAATCAGATCTTAATATATTATACGATTGGACAGAAAACAACTTATTGCCTTTGAATGTTAACAAGTGTCTTATTATATCATTTCTTAATATCAAACTGAGGGTGAACTTTGACTATTATTTGGGTAATTCTATCTTGTCTCGTGTTGAGGAAGTCAAAGATTTAGGTGTGGTTTTCGATTCTAGATTAACATTTAAGAATCATTATTATTTTATTTTTAATAAATCAATACGGACTCTTGGGCTCATTTGGAGGCATTGTCAACATTTTTCGATTTCGACCCTTAAAATATTATACTTCTCTCTTGTTCGATCTCACCTAGTTTATTGTTCTTCCATATGGTATCCTAATTATAAAACAGATTGTGATTTATTGGAAAGAGTACAGAAAAAATTCCTTCGCTTATTAGAGTTTAAACTTGGTCGAACTCATATACAGGGTAATTACACTTGGGTAATGTGTAATTTTCATATTAATTCACTCGAAACTCATCGCATAATTTCCGATATTTCATTTCTTCGAGGACTTATTAATGGTGAAATAGACAATGCCTGCTTACTAGAAAAACTATCTTTCATTGTGTTGCCTGCTGATAGCAGATTGACTCGCAGTCAACTGATTTTCAGAATTCCTTTGTCGATAACAAAAAGATCGCAAAACCATCCAATTAGACGAATGATGAACACAGCCAACACATTCGCAGAGGACCAGAGGTTCAACATATTTAATATTAATAAAACTGCGTTTAAGAATTTGATCAGGAATCTAAGCTATTTTGTAAATTCTTAATTAATAATTTTTAATTTTATTTTGCACGTATTTATTTATTTATTATTTAATATTTATTATACATATTTAGTTTTATAAGTTTTGTTTCTTGTATTATTAATAATTTAATTAATATTGTAATAGGGGTATCCCGTTAATAAATATTCTATTCTATTCTATTCTATTCTATTATTATTATTATTATTATCAGCATCATGTAGGTATATGTATTCATCTTTTTTAGAATTGCTTATATAAATGACTCAAAAAAAAATATTTCGTTCATCCCCTTTCCCGAAAATGTGACTACAGTACTGTTATTCTTAGTATTACACTGAATCTATTAAAATTATAACCCTAGAGCCCTAGACACCGATTTTTCATCTTAAATTCCAACATTTTGTGTACTGATATAACGTGGATTTCTGGACATGCAACTTTAATTGGGATAATTTGTAAATATACACCGGAACTTCACAAAATTGGTATTTGGTCTTCAAATCAACCCAACTATAATCTCGTAAATTTTAGCATTTTCAAAATAACTGTGTTCAGTTTACCTACAGAAATTATAGAACCCTTCCACTGCAATGTATCATTGTATTTGTATTTATTATTGGTAATATTGCTTCAGATATATTTAAAACTATTTTGCTTATTTTATTTATTTTATATTTACTTACAACATATTTCACAATTCAACAACAACTGGTGCTTCATCTTCCTCACTCGAATCTACATATTCAAAGTCCCACAAATAAGTAGTAGTTAACGAATTTTTAAACCTATCAGCTTTCGTTTTTAACTGTCCATCTAAATTTGAGTCATGTATTGTTCTAAAAAACTTTTTTAAGTTGACATATACAAAATTATCATTGGACACAATGTCAGCTAAAAACTCTTCAGGGATTTCTTTAAGTTGTACTTCTAACACACTAAGAAATACATCAAATAATCTTCTGTATTTTGCAATAGCTAGATCACACGAACAAAACACTGTAACAATTTTTTTCCATTGATCAAAAGCTTCCAAACTGTGACCCACAAGAAAGCAAATGTAGCAAAACTCCAGCTCTCCAATAATTTCTATCGGCCTGAAATAAAAAATGACACAAAATCAAGAACATAAATTAACTTAAAAAAAAAAAATTGTATAAATATACCTTGAATAATGTCCCAAAACTGTTTCGAACACATAAGTTAAATCTAGGGAATGCTGCGTGATTTCTGATGGAGAACTACCTTCAGGAAAATTTCGTTCAGGAAAAGGAGTTAATCGAAGTTCTGTTCCTTCCAAAGGTTTTAGTGAAGGTAACAGATCAGCTTCGCCACTCGAAGAACGTCTCTTTTCTTCAACAGGGGAATTTTTTATTTCCAAGAGGTCTCTCTTAACTCCCCTTGGCCGATCTGCATCACTACAGGATTGTAATTCTAATGCAGCTTTTACTTGGCCAGATTTCGGCACCAATTTAGCCAGCACATTATCTACAATAAAGTACAAACATAACTACATTTTTGCAACATAATATGTACAATTACTGACTTGAAATATTGGATGACAAACTACTCCATTTATCTAAAATATCGTATGGATACGGTCCCAAAAATCCGTCTAATGCCAACAAGTTATCTTTTAAACCCACAATTTCGGCTTCAGATACTGGCTCAGTACTTATTTGTTCAGTCTGTTTATCCCATTTTTTCACAAAAACTTCGCCTCGTTTGAAGTTATGAAAAAAGCCAATTCTGGGAGCGACATCATCTGTAGAACTTACTGAACTGTAAAAAACGAAATGTAGGCCGGGGGGAATCATTTTCACTCCTCGGAATTTTTCTCCAGTGTTCCATGATTTCATATCAATGCCAAATTCAGTTCCTTCGGGCACATTTAAGAAGATGAAGAATGCGCCTTCGTTTAAGAGTCTCCGAGCTGTTGCTTGGTCCATTACTTTTGTTTTTCTCTTTCTTGTGTTTGTTACAAAAAATTAATGAAAACTTATTTTACGGCATACTGGTATTTATGAAGTTCGCTCATTACGGACTGTTCTGTGGTTTAAGGTTAGAAATCTATGACATACCGTATGACAAATGACAACAAAAATTCTGAAAAGTTTGTAAACAGTCGAATTTGAAATGCCGTATACTGGATTGTATATAACATACAGGATGATTATTTTATGTGTTAACGTGTGATTATTTTTGAATAAGCAACACAAGTATTTAATAAATTACTCCCTACGTTTTATTTGTTAGAACTTTGCCATTATTAGCTGCTTGACGTCTTATAGTTGTCATTTGTGGCAGGTAGTGTGATTTTTGTATTGTTATTACATTTTTAGTATTTTTACTAACTACTAACTTGTTAGTTTAATAAAAGGATTAATACAATACCACAGGTCGGACAAAGGTGGTTATAAGATGTGTATAATGTTTTGCCTACACGAAAGCTTTTAGGCGTGAACAGAAAAAATAATCACCATGTATAATGTTTAATGTAACTTCTAAATTTCTTGTATATAGGTATTCATATGTAATAATAATAAAACTGCAATAGACGACAAAGAGAGGGAAATGAAGATATCTATAACTTCGTATTCTAAGAACTTATAAAATTAATACTCCTATACTATACTTACATACTTAGTCCTACAGCTGGTACAGCTAATATTTATCGTAGCTATTGTTATATAGCTTTTATCTCGGATTTCATGTTATTTCACTGAAGTCTTATTAGAAAGCTCAGTAAATGCTAAATGATGATCAAAATTTGGAAATAAAAAAGTTAATAAATACTTTTGATGATGTCATCCAAAAATTAATAATACTGTTACGAAATAAACCCATACGCCGCCCTGGTACGACGCCTGTAGGTCTTCTAGTATGTGTGTGTTTATTCTGGTATGTACGGCGGGGATGACTCATCGGCCGGGTGGCGCGTCGTTCTCTGACGAAAAACCTGAAAGCAGAAGTCGCGATGGGCAACCCAGAAAACCCTCGAAGCGACGCTCTCGAACGATCGAGAGGAATGAATAAGTTTAAATAGAGGCCTCCTTCGGGAACGATGATTATTCAGTCAATCGAGTCTACGAGAGTACAGTCTAGTTGAGCCGGAATTATTTTCTACATAATCACTGTGTAATAATCAGTCGTGTAATTCGAGTTATTAAGAAATAAAATGTTAGGTAAGTCTAACCCACGCCGATTTTAAATATACCAATTGATCGTAACAATACATATATTTATATACGATCGATTAATAAAAGAGTTATTATAGTCCTCATTTGCGGGAGTAAACGAGGTTTTTTTGGCCCTCGGGCGACAATCATTATTGCTGGTTGACGTAATTTACATTCTCAAAAAAAAAGAAATGAAAAGAGAAATGTATTTACTAATATGAAGAATTGTATCTATTTTGCACTTATTTTACTACAATTATTAATATTGAAAGCAGAAGAACTGAACGTTGTAGACAAAGTCTGCATAGCGGTGTTATTTTATCATTATTCAGAACAGTAAATTTTCTATATATTTTGGCCTTAAGATACGTGTCCACTGGAGAGTAACTTGGCGAGAATTAGCAAACATGAGATAAATTATTTGATTGCAAATTTAGATTTTTTGCTCAAGTAAATTTTTTAGAAAATTTGTCAGTATTTGCAAAAAGGGTATAGGTAAATTGTTTCCCGGGTTAGGTTGGTAAAAGCGCTTAATACGACCGGCACCTGAAGATTATCATCCTTGGACAATTACATGCAATGTTGTAGTGTGTAAAAATATCTATAAAATTATTGTCCCTAATAATTACTATACTTTCAGTTGAGGCAGGCATCAATTTATAAAAGCACTTGTGGATAAACACTGAAAATAAATACATATACATATTAATTTTTTAATACGTATGCTAATAACACATTTGTAGTACTTAATATGTAATTTATTATTAAAAATTCATTTAAAAACGTTATTAAAATAATAAAAAATTAATTTACTTCGTTGTGCATAGTTTCATCTCGTACTAAAACAAACAATTAATAATAATGAAGTATAATCAGAATCACTTATACAAGTTATACAGACTATGATCTTTAATAATTATAAATTAATAAAGTTAATCTGGTCTACTTTTCACATTACTTGCTTCAGATTTACGATAATATAGAACATAATTTAGTCATTTATTTTCGTTTTACATTTTTTTTTTTTAGTATTTAACAATTTCATAAAAATGTGTTACCTATCTCAAAACGCTATATAAATGTTGAAGTCAGGTAAACGATCAGAATTGGCCGAATTACGTAGTCCTTTTCACGACTATTTGCATAGAATCATAAACGTGTAAAATAAGTCGGCTTTACTCGAGAAATAATTTATGATGAACTGCTTACTCTCGGGGAATACTTCCCCAATTCGAAACTTCTTCGCATTGAGAGTATGTCTCGCAAGTAAACGCAGTTTGGCTTGTCCACTGGAGAGGATGTCGCTCGCGGCGAGATCAGCCGATCAGTGTTTCGTCTTTACTCGATTCAACTCGGAGCTCTCCAGGGATGATTTTCAGGGGATTTTTCGCAAGTGGACACGTACCTTTATTAGGTACAAAATTTATTTATATAATTTCTTTCTAAGCAATTCCTGGTTTTGGCAAATCAATACCAGGTGGTATTCGCAATTCAATTTTGTACGACATTGTTTAAGTGTTAACTGCATTAAAAAAAAAATTTGTGATTTTTCTCAAAACTTTTGTTACGTAATCATGTTACGTACTAGTGGCGAAAATGTCTTAAAATTGGAAAATAGTAAAGACAACTACAATTACGACTAATCTGAGTGCATGTCTTTGGGAAAATTTAAATTGTATCGATAAATTACATTCTTAGATAAAAATAATGATATAGATGTTAGTTTTCAAGAAAAAAAAATGTAGAATTTGAAAACATATTTGATTTTAATCTTTCCGATGGTACTACATACCTTATTTATAAAACTAAGTCCCAATATATCCTTGAATACTAAAATATCTACCAACCAGCTTTGGAAATAAAAACTGCCATTTGACTCCAGAAAAAAATATATTTAGCAGTTTTTGTTTTGGTAGAAAAAATTAACAGAAAATGGGGGTCATATTCTGTTGGTTTTGAAAAAATATTTTGTTGCAATTGTTTGATATTCGTTGAAAAAACACAATGAGGATCATCTTTCACAAAAATGGACATTTAGATAAAGCTTTAAACGAACATGAAAATTTAGAATACCACAGCCATGCTACTTCGGTTGCATTAAGAAGCACTTTTGGTACTAATAATAGAAGTACTAATTTAACCTAATTTTGTAATAAAAACATTATTTTCTCTAAAAATTTATTTGAATTTTTAAAAAGAATACCATTCGAAGGGGGCCCGAAAATAGTTTTCGCCGGGGGCCCTGAAACATGCCAGGCCGACACTGACTATTGGTCAGTAAAACGAGGTTGCCAAAATCTTCCCTAAACTTGAAGAGATTTCTTTCATTTGGTGAAGCATATTCGTACAAAATGTACAACCAAAAACGTGCAGCACATAAAATATTGAAAAAGAAAAAACACGCAAAATCCAAAGAAAATGTTAGGTTAAATTGTGAGTTCAGCGTAGAACCACGTTGGGTGCATATCCAACAATTATCAAAGAATTGCAATGGAATTGCAAATTGAAGACGCGCAGCAGTTTCGAAATTTTGTGCGAATAGTGCAGTTCAAGTGCAACAATTTACCTATGTGGACCTAAAATTGTGAAAAGAAATACGCAAATGCGTGATGCTATTTATGTTCATGAAAGAACAAGTGTGTGAAAGTATTATATAAATCATTGAACGAAATAAGGTGTTCTCCATTAATTATGTCACGCAGATTTTGTGTTTTTTTTTTTGTCCCTCTTTTCTATGCCACAGGTTGTCGCATTCATATGATCCCACCCTGTCATGTAATCTGCAATTTGTAATGCAGAGTTAATTTTGATTAAAACAACATGGTCATTATTACTCTTATTTAACATTATGTGAAATCTTTTTTCAATATGTCTCTTAAAAACGTAAAAATCGCAGAAACTATTGACTTTAAGTATAGGATATACTTAACGAAAAAGAAAAAAATAAGAAGAAAAAAAGAATAAGATGCAATTATAAAATACAGGTGTGTCCCCATAAAATATTATAACACAGATCTTAAAAGTAATACGATTGCGATTTTTTGGTGAACCGCTTCATTACTGAAAATTGTTCCGAAAATTGGAATTGGGCATTCTATTTAAAAAAAGTAAGTTGCATGTTACGCCTCAAAAACAGAACACTCTGTACAGTTGAAAATAATTTTAGTGTATGCTACTCAAAGAACCACATAACTTTAGTCTTTAACATGTTTCTTACGTCTAGTTATTAATTAGGTATCGAGGAAGGTCCGCGCAATGACTCATTCTACTTATAACTACAATAACTACATATACGCATATGCACCTGTCTTTTTCATGACATAATTTATGGATGGCCCTTTAATGCTAATATAATCTATCGTGTAGCCACGAATAATTATTTCCAGGCGATTCATACAGCAATTTACAATATTTGTTTTAAGTACCTGTTTGCACATTGGTAGAATTGTGAAAGAAGTGCCGCTGCTATTTACAACGCACTTAAAGACGAATATCTGAAGGTAAGAACATTATGATCAAAATACGATTGTAAAAATAAAAGAAATTAGTATAATTAGCATAGTTTTAATGAATTGATTGATATATAATAATATATTATACACAAGAGGAACTTGACGCTTTTCCCATTGATTTGGCTCGCGAAGGTAATGGTGTAGGGATGCACGATGATTCGTTATTTGACTGAATAACCAGTCCTGGGGATGAAGAATTTGGTAAGACACCAGCATAATAAGCCATATCTTCTTCATCTATAGCGCAAATGACGGCGCGACGAATTTCACGTTTCAGTTTTCTTTTATAAAAATCAGATCGTAAACCTTTTAATTCCATTGCGACATATGCACCAAAATTATCATCTGCATCTGGCGCGTTCTGAAGAGTTGCCAAGGCTTGCCTGAACAGTTTGTCGTCCTCGTCATCTCTATTTTGTTGCTGACTAACCGCTTTTAGTTTTCTCATTAGAGGTTCTACGCCTTCCTTCTTAGCTTGTGTGTCAACATATACTGCACTTTCATCTAATATTTCTTCTTCTGATGTTGCATGTATCTGAAAAAAAATACCATCGCATTACTTATTACATTTTTCGTTTGTGTTTTATGTAACCATATAAGTATTTCAATCTTGTTAAACATATTATTTTCATTTTAGTTTTCCAATACCACAACCCAATGGCTAAGTAGGTATAGCAGAAACTTTT